AGAGCTTCCTGCCTCTGCGTCTTTGTGCATACTGTGTGCTTGGAACGTCTTCCTGCTTCCACTGGAGAACGTTGTCTCCCTTAAATAAAATGTGTGACTCCTCCAGTCTGTGTGACTCTCAGATGAGAACGGTGCTGGCCAAGTGACCTTGTCTCTAGTCTCCTGAGCCCTCTGCATGTGCGAGGCCACAGCGAGGCTGGCTCAGCCCTTCTGTCCATCCCCTGGATGGACTTCTGCTTTAGAGACGAGCAGCTCTAAGATAAATTAAAACCCCTCTCCTTGCTTCCTTTTGCCTCTTTGAGAAGAATTCATTCCTTCATCCGACAAAGATTTAATGAATAGCCATTATGCACCAGGAACTTACTGTTCCAGGCACTTAGATACATTAGTGAACCAAACAGAAATCCCTGCCCTCGTGAAGCTTATATTCTGGCAGGGGAAATGAACAATACACAATGTATGTAAGAAAAAATAATTATATAATATATCAAAAGGCATTAAGAGTTATGGTAAATAGAAAAGGTGGAGCAAGGAAGGGAATTTGGGAGCCCCAGGAAGAAGGGTGGGGCAGGTGGCAATAGCGTATAGAATGGCAGGATCAGTCTTGTCTTAGTCTGCTAGAGCTGCTGTAACAAATGCCCCAGGCTGGGTGGCGTAAGCAGTGGAAACATTTCTCACAGTTCTGGAGGCTGGAAGTCCAAGATCAAGGTGCTGTTGAGGCAGGTTTCATCCTCACCAGGCAGACGAGAACCTGGAGGCCTGCAACCAATGGTGTCTCTTTCCGAGGTCCCTGGGGGTGTTCTCGCTATTAATTATCCCGTGGAGCCCCCAAGGCTTTGTCTGTGCTGCCAGTGAGACAGTGAGTGCTGAGCCTCACCGGTGCTGGATGGGAAGGAAGGAGGCCATGTCCCGCCCACCCTGGCAAGGCCACAGGCATGTCCCAGCGTGGGATGCAGGATGCGAGGAGCCAGCCTCTGCGAGGAGATGAGGTCCTTGGGCGCAGGTTTCATCCTGACGCCTCTTCTCCTGGCTTGCAGGCGGCTGCCATCTCACTGTGGGCTCACATGCCTGTTTCTTCGTGCTGGCTTATGCAGACAGAGAGCGCTGCAGTGTCTCTTCCTCTTTTATGAGGATACCAGCGCTATGGTATGAAGCCCCACCCCATGACCTCTCTTAACCCTCATTACCTCTTGTAAGCCCTGTCTCCAAACATCATCACATTGGGGGTTGGGCTTGTAAACCAAAAAGAACTTGAAACAGGTCTCAATCTTTTTTTCTTTTTTGAGACAGAATCTCACTCTGTTCCCTAGGCTGGAGTGCAGTGGCATGATCTCAGCTCACTGCAATCTCCACCTCCTGGGTTCAAGCAATTCTCATGGCTCAGCACCCCAAGTAGCTGGGATTGCAGGCATGCACCACCACACCCGGCTAACTTTTTGTATTTTTTTTTTTTTTTTTTTTTTGAGAGGGAGTCTGGCTCTGTCGCCCAGGCTGGAGTGCAGTGGCCGGATCTCAGCTCACTGCAAGCTCCGCCTCCCGGGTTTACGCCATTCTCCTGCCTCAGCCTCCCGAGTAGCTGGGACTACAGGCGCCCACCACCTCGCCCGGCTAGTTTTTTTTTTTTGTATTTTTTAGTAGAGACGGGGTTTCACCGTGTTAGCCAGGATGGTCTTGATCTCCTGACCTCGTGATCCGCCCGTCTCGGCCTCCCAAAGTGCTGGGATTACAGGCTTGAGCCACCGCGCCCAGCCTATTTTTTTTTTTTTCTGAGATGGAGTCTCGCTTTGTTGCCCAGGCTGGAGTGCAATGGTGCAATCTCAGCTCACTGCAACCTCCACCTCCCAGGTTCAAGTGATTCTCCTGCCTCAGCCCCCTGAGTAGCTGGGATTACATGTGCCCACTGCCACGCCTGGGATTTTTGTAATTTTTGTATTTTTAGTAGAGACGGGGTTTCACCATGTTGGCCAGGCTGGTCTCAAATTCCTGACCTCAAGTGATCTTCCCGCCTCAGCCTCCCGAAGTGCTGGAATTATAGGCGTGAGCCACTGTTCCCGGCCTTCTTTTGAGTCTTTGATGAGTCTTTCACTGAATACATAATTTACATGAGGCGGGGGATGGGGTATGGTAGAGGAATAATCACTTATGCCATGTCTAGCTCTGAATCTGCATTTTTACATCAGAGGAAGCAATCAGATATGCATGTGTCTCAAGTGAGCAGAGGGATGACTTAGAGTTCTGTCATTTGTCCCATGCCCGTGAAGACAGGTTATGCATTCACATTGTCTGGGTAAAATTCAGCAGATCCATTTCAGGGTAAAAATCTTGGGGCCCCAGAATTTCCTAATGAGGAAATTGTGAGGGAGGTATGTAGCTTTCTTATCTTTGTAACTATCTTATTATTTAGAAATAAAATGGGAGGCAGGTTTGCCTGATGCAGTTCTCAGTTTGACTTTTCCCTTTGACTTGGTGATTTGGGAGGTCTTGAGATTTGCTTTCCTTTCACAGCCTTCAACTAGGAATTTGGAGGGGCGACACAATTCAGTCCACACCAAGCCTCATTGAGAAGGTGAGATTTGAGCATAGAATTAAAGGAGGTGAGAATTACAATATCTGGGAAGAGCACTCCAGGCAATGATGTGGGTACAGCAAAGACCTTGGGGCAGGAATGTGCCCGGTATGTTGGAGGAACAGCAAAGAGTCCACTGTGGCTGCAGTGGGCAGAGCAAGGAGGACAACAGTGAGAGGTGAGGTTAGAGAAGTGTTGGGACTCAGTCCTGCAGGGAGGGCATTGTACACCATGTAAGGCCTTTGGCTTTTCCTCCGAGAGAAATGGGAACCATTGCAGGGGGCTTGACCAGAGTGACCACACGATTGGCCTTATGTTCTCAGTGACCACCCAGTACTGTATTGAGACTAGGCCATGGGGGAAAAGGTAGGAAACAGACGGACCTGCTAGGAAACTTCTACAGAAATCCAGATAAGGAATGATGGTGGCTGAGACCATGGTGATAAGAATGGTGGCAGTGAGATGTCAGATTCTGTATATATGTGGAAGGTAATGTCCACAGAATTTCATAACAAATTGGACAAGGAGTGTGAAAGGAAGAGAGGAGTGAAAAATGAGTCTTAAGATTCTGGCAGGGAAGAATGGAGTTGCCGTCTGTTGAGATGACGAAGGCTGCTGGTAGAGCAGGTAGAGGTGAAAAGATCAGCTGCTTCAGTTTTGGACATGTTGAGTTTGAGATGTCTGCTAGACATCCAGGTGGATATATCAGGTAGGTAACTGGGTATATAAGCCTGGTTTGGAGAGAGACCCAGGATGCAGATAGAAGTTTGGGAGTCATCCATGCTGATGGTATTTAAACTATGAGAGCAGATGAGATCATCAAGGAAGTGAGAGAGAAGCCAGGACAATGGTCTAACCCTGGGGCACCCCAAGAAGACCAGCTGCCATGGAGATTGAGAACAAGGCTGATTTGCTCAAAACCAGGGTGCCCAAGGAATGATAAAAGGGAGATGGGTAATACAGACCAGGTACCGTGGGTCCCCAGAGACAAGTTTCTGCTCTCCCCATTGTTGACCTCCTTACAAGGCTGCGTTTCCCAGCCTCTGCCCTAAGACTATCCTGCTGTGGTCCACAGGTTCTCAATGCTAATTTGTGGCCTTTTAAAAAATAAGCATAAGGCCCGGCGCGGTGACTCACGCCTGTAATCCCAGCACTTTGGGAGGCCGAAGCAGGTGGATCACGAGGTCAGGAGTTCAAGACCAGCCTGGCCAAGATGGTGAAACCCTGTCTCTACTAAAAATACAAAAAATTAGCTGGGCTTGGTGGCAGGTGCCTATAATCCCTGCTACTCTGGACGCTCAGGCAGAGAATTGCTTAAACCGGGGCGGGCGGGTGGGGGGATGGGAGGGCGGAGGTTGCAGTGGGCGGAGATCACGCCACTGCACTCCAGTCTGAGCGACAGAGTGAGACTCAACATAAATAAATAAATAAATAAATAAATAAATAAATAAATAAAATAAAATAAGCATAAACATTTGAGATTAGAGCTAAAAGATCTGACTTTGATCATCCACAGCAGCCAGGCTCCCTCCCTACCGCTCAGCTCCGATGCACTGCTGGTGGGAGGGGAGGTGCTTTGCCTGGCCGCCCCCTTCTCTGGGGATCCTGTCTCGGTCGCTTCCCCCACTCCTGTTCCCGGGCTTGTATCAACCCCACCCAGTGGCTACTGCTGTCTGTGCCCGAGGACCTCATCTCCTCGCAGAGGCTGGCTCCCCGCATCCCGCATCCCACACGGGGACACGCCTGTGGCCTTGCCAGGGTGGGCGGGACACGGCCTCTTTCCTTCCTTCCCATCCAGCGCCGGTGAGGCTCAGCACTCACTGTCTCACTGGCAGCACAAAGCCTTGGGGGCTCCACGGGATAATTAATAGCGAGGACGCCCCCAGGGACCTCCGGAAAGAGACACCATTGGTGGCAGGCCTCCAGGTTCTCGTCTGCCTGGTGAGTGAGGTGGCACGCAGCGTCAGTCCTCTGCAGGAACTGGTGCTGGGGGAAAGGAGCGCTTCGTGCAGACTGCAGAGGTGGAGGCCGAGGGCTGGGGTCCCTGGGCCGCGGGCGGGTTCCGCGTGCCCCTCCCTCGCCGCACCGCGCGGTCCCGCCAGGGGGCGCCAGGCACCGGCTCCCTCAACTCTGGGCTCCTTGCGCAGGTCCAGCTGTGCTCCAAGATTATCTTTCCTTCTATAGCTCACTAGACCTTCTTATGCTCACAGGAGTGCCATCCCTCACTCCAGAGCCATCCTCAGAATTCTAAAGCAGAATTAGAAAAATCCTTGCTCTACCAGCCTGGGCAACATAAGGAGATCCTGCCTCTACAAAAAATGAAATGTAGTCCCAGCTACTCAGGAGGCAGAGGTAGGAGGATCACTGGAGCCCAAGAGTTCGAGGCTACAGTGAGCTATGATCGAGCTGTTGCACCCCAGCCTGGGCCACAGAGCGAGACCCGCCTCTAAAGCAATAATAATAGTGAAAAATTTTTAAATAAATAAAAAAGAAAAATTCTCACTCTTTAGCTATTGAATTTTGTGGCGGTGATTTCTTCAGAAACTGCCTCTTCCCACCCCCACTCCACCCACAGAGAGGATGAGCTACATCCGTACAGAGCCTGGCACTCCGGATGCTGGCGGAATTGATTCAGTAGCATGAGCAGGAAGGTCCATTTGAAGAGATCACTCCAAAACAGCGGTTCGCAACAAGGTGGGAGTGGAAGGGAATGTTCTCCTGGGAGTGGGTGGGGGTGGGGTGTCAGCGTGTGGACCTGGTACAGCAGCGTTTGAAAATACCTCCAGTATTCTAATATAATTTAAAATAATAATTAGCCGGGTGTGGTGACTCGTGCCTGTAATCCCAGCTACTAGGGAGGCTGAGGTGGGAGGATTCCTTGAGCCCTGGAGTTCAAGACCAGCCTGGACAGCATAGCAAACCCCTGTCTCACATAAATAATAATAATAATAATAATGATTATTATTCAATGTTTTTGTCATTCAAACCACAGGTAGTAAAGCTTGACAGAATTGTTGTGGGTGGGATGTGAGCTAAAAATATTGAGAACCAGGACCTAGCAGATTGTCTGCTGTAAGTTCCCTGGCTGTGGAGGATGGAGTCTCCCCTGAAGAGTAGTGTTGGTCCTTGGGACAGTGGCCGCAGTCCAGCCCATCACAGAAAGGAATGGTGCTCCCTGGGGCTGGAAACCGGTGTCTGGAGTTGGGGGAGGTGGGGAGGAACTTGGAGATTCGGCTCACTGTCAGTCTTGTTAAGGAGGCCAGTGTCTAAAGTGGGAACCACACCAGGTAAGCTGTATTCTAATCTGCTCCTTGTTTTCTTGGCAGAATGGTTCATGCAGGACAGAAAAAGGAGAGACAAAGGACTGTCAGGAGAGTGACTGGTCCAAATGAGGACTCAGGAACCCCCAGTGGATCCAGAGAGAAAAACACTCTGGGTAGGAAGGGCATGGGAAGTGATTACTATGCACTTGTGCTGGAGCAAAATGACACCAGGGGAGGTTGACCAGCACCCTCTGGGTTCATTCTTTTTATAAGGAAGACTTCTGGTCTCTTACTCTGTTCCTTGAATGGATTTACATCCCAGAAAGATGTGTGCTCTGTGCAAATGAAGGGGTACTCTTCCACTGTAAAGAATGCATTGGCTTTCTGGACTGGGGGGCCGGCTGGTACAAGTGTTTCCCAGGAGAGAGAAGTTTCTGAAAGGATTTTTGGAGTTGCAGAGTCAAGGACCAGGCTGGGAGTCTTGGTGACCCCACCAAGCACAGAGGATGCCAGGCGCCTGATTGGAGAAGGCTGTGGGAGTCTTCTAGAACAATCGTGCTAACTGCACACACCATCTGCATGAACCAATACCAGGTTGTACTGGTATTCAGCCATCTTGTACTATTTCCTCGGGGTGTCCCTAGAGTGTTTCGTTTTTGACTAGCATTTCAGCAGCCTGCAGGTAGGGACAGCATTTCATACACAGTGTGCGCCTCCCAGGAGCCAGGTGCAGCTGGGGTGTGTGACTGTGAGGCTCCTTGCTGTCCATGACATAATGTCACCCCCACTGCCTCAGCTTACTCCCCAGTCACCCCTTGAGGTAACAGGGCTGGTGCTTTTACAATTCCCATTTTAAAGATGAGGAAACAGGCTGGGTGTGGTGGCTCACGCCTGCAATCCCAGCACTTTGGGAGGCTGAGGCAGGTGGGTCATTTGAGTTCAGGAGTTCGAGATCAGCCTGACCAACACAAAAAATTACCAGAGTGTGGTGGTGCATGCCTGTCATTTCAGCTACTTGGGAGGCTGAGGCCTGAGAATTGCTTGAACCCAGAGGTGGACGTTGCAGTGAGCCGAGATCGCACCACTGCACTCTAGCCTGGGTGACACAGCGAGACTCCATCTCAAAAAAAAAAAAAAAAAAAAAAGATGAGGAAACAGAGGTCAGTGAGTGCTGGCCTCAAGAGAACCTCAAAATCCCACTCTGCCTAGCCCTGCCTGCCCTTGTCTTCAATCCTTGAGGAACAGAATGATGCCAGGTGTGAGTTGTTCAGGTATCCCCCCAATATCTCCTCCTACATGGTGGGGAGGGTGACCACGGCAGGGGGTTGGGGGAAGGCTCTTCTGCCATGCCTTGGGACTTCCCTTTCTGTGTGAGTGTGAGGTAGGTGGATTCCACCTACTCAGCATGGATTTTGCACAGGAAGTCTTGCTCGCTTTTCCTTGGTGTGATTTTTATTGAACTCACCTTTCCTTACTAAGGGAGTGTTAAGTTGGTTTGGATTTCAAGAGAAAAGAAACATAGCCTACTTAGGTGAGCCCCCAGCCTACATTAAGGAATCTCTTACATGGGACAGCCTGGTCCAGCAGGGCAAAAACGTTTCAGTAATAAATAATTTGCATTTACCTGCCCTATGATGGGACAGGAGTGGAGGATACAGTCTCTGGCCAGATCTCATGATCCTGTCCTCATCCCACAACATGCACTAGTGACCCTCTCATGCTCCCACCGCCACAAAAGGCAGAATTGGGGTTGGAACATCTGACCCAAGTCCACACCTCTTTCCTCTCTCCTTCTGCATTTCTGAGTCTTGAAGTAATGCTGGGCCAAAGTGGGGGTGGTCCTTGGCCATCCTGGGAGGAGCTTTGCACACTGGTGGTAAGTTCCTATTTCAGTTGATGGTTCTATAGTGGATGAGCTCCACATTCAATTCTTATGCCCCTGCAGCTGCCGTAGGAGGCAGGGTGACCCGTCACCAAGGCAGCTCCCACAACTTGGTCACAGCTCTTTCCTCAGGGCCTGTTACCCAGCATGAGCTAAGGTCCTTGGGAACTTCTAAGACCACTTGAAGGAGGAAATTTATTCTGTGTCTTTCCCTCTCCTTTTCTCCCTCCCTCCCTCCTTCCGTCCCTCCCTCCCTCCCTATCTTCTTTTATTTTTCCTTCCCTTCCTTTTTCCTCCCATCCATTCACTCAAATCTAGGCGATGCATCCCTGTGGTGTGCTAGCTATTGTTTCTCTAGGTTAAGAGGCATCAGAAACAGAATACTTCCCCTGAGTCAGGAGCCACACTGAATTATTCATAGGCTGAATCTATTGCAAGTTTTAGAGGGAATTTTCTTCAAGGTTGTGGCTGTGAGGCTGCTGAGTGAAAGAAGTAATGAATATGCCTAACATTCGCAGAGGTGAGAAATGCTGCCTGGACTCAGACAGCCCAGGGTCTCAGGCTCACACAGCCCTGGGACAATTGCAGTAAAGAGAATGCCCTGAACAGAGATTCATACTGTCTTGGCCTTGGTGGATGGAATTCTAATCTCCCTGAACTCTTCAATCTGTGGGTTGATGGATTAAACACGCATGTATTCAACATGAGTGGATAGCTGGGTCTCCCCAAACTCTACACCTGTATGGAATCCATTTCCCCCTGTTCTGGACCATTTAGAAGGGCATGTGGGTACCTGGAGTTGTCTGACAGAGATACTGACTGGAGAAGCGGTGAGGTCCCCAACACTGAGATGATTTGGGTTGGAAATGATGAGTAACCATCAGGCATGCTGTGGGAGGGGCTCCTGCTCTGGGTGGAGGTGGGACTGGATATCTGTAGATTATCAAAGCCATCTTGTTCATCAAAGCCATCTTGTTAATGAGGGTCAAGATCATCCTCACATCTGAGTATCTTGAAAAGTTCCTCACAAATCTAAGATTCAACTACCAGGAATAATGGTCTCAAAGTAGAATCTGAACGTGGATTCCCTTAGACTCAGAACTGGAACCTGAACTTGGATTCCCTTAGACTCACAACTGTTTGGCTTTGTCAGGTGCTGCTTCTTGGATTTGCCTCCTGACTGTTGCCAATTCCCCCCTACCTCATAGTCTTCATTCACCCCCTGCAGTGCCCCACTGATGACACCATTCTGCCAGTGATGCCTGGATCTCCCATGGCATCGCCTACCTTCTAGGTAGTTTTACAGAGAGGAAGTGTAGCCTCATGAAGAAACCAGCAACTCTGGAGCAGGTGGACTTACTTAGATTAATATCTTGTTTTCACCATATGGCTGAGTGACTTTGGCCAAATTAACAAACCTCTCTGACCTTCACTGTCCTCTTCCGCAAAATGAAAATGGTAAAAACCATTATTTATAGGATTGTGAGGTTTAAGTGAAATAATGGAAATAAGGCACTTGGCCAGGCACGGTGGCTCATGCCTGTAATCCCAGCACTTTGGGAGGCAGAGGCAAGCGGATCACCTGAGGTCAGGAGTTCAAGACCAGCCTGGCCAACATGGTGAAACTGCATCTCTACTAAAATTACAAAACTTAGCTGGACGTGGTGATGCATGCCTGTAATCCCAGCTACTCGGGAGGCTGAGAGAGGAGAATTGCTTGAACCCAGGAGGCGGAGGGTGCAGTGAGTCGAGATCACGCCACTGCACTCCAGCCTGGGCGACAGAGCAAGATTCTGTCTAAAGAAAAGAAAGAGAGAAAGAAAGAAAAGAAGGCACTTGATACAATGCTTAGCACATCCCTCCCCAGCTTCATTGTTCTCTTGTGTCTCTTGCCCTTGACCATGCAGTTCCATAGACCATTATTCCCCTCCTGTGACAGAGATTTCTAATAGCCCACTAGTGCCCATCTCCCCTTCTTCCCTTCTGGTTTTAGTTCGACACATGGCTACTTAGTTATACACTATATATTCCAGCCTCCCTTTCAGCCAGGAGTTGCCATGTGACTAAGCTCTGGCCCGTGGAATGATGCAAGCAAAATTGATGTGCGCAGCTTCTTCAAGAGGAAATTGTTTGCCTTCCACAATTTCCATCTTTCTTCCTGGAATGTGGGAGTGGTGCTGGTGTTAGCTTTGATCATGCAAATGAGGAAAACACTCTAGAAGATGGCAATGGGCCCCAGACAACCTCTTAACATGGGACTATCTTCCCAGCCAGGACCATTCACCTACCTATAGCTTAGTATGCAAGAGAAAAACAAGCCTCTTCTCAGCCTCTGCTCATTCTCCCACCTTGAATTAGATGTCACTTCACCATCTCTGACCCTTCAAGGCCAGTACTTCCTGTGGGCCTTCACCCATGTCCTCATGTCTGCAAGCCCCGCAAGACTGGGAGCACCATGAGGAAGGGACCATGGTCTCATCTGCGCTGGTTTTCTCAGGAACAGGAACACAGTAGGCACTTAGTAAATGTTGAATAAATCGATGATAGTGCCACACGCTTACAAACTGGCTTAGTTCTGCCTAAAGGGATCTTAAGCACTTCAACCTGCTTGACCTCCAGCAAAAACAAAAGAACAATTCCCATTTTTTTTTCCTCCCTTCCTCCAAACACACCCAGGGCTTTCTTCCATGTCCCGTTGGCCAGAGCAGACCCTGGAAAGAAGCCCTCCCCAAGGCGCCTTGTTGACTACGGCCAAGGCCTGGCCCAGTGCTGGACACCAGTCTATGTGAGTATATTTCTGTAAGTCCATAGTTATTAGCAGAATCCCACCCCAGTGTGAGACCTGGTTGTGTTTGACCAGGTCCATGAAGTGTAGTAGCAGTTGCTCCCACTAGACTATTTTTGCCTTGAAAATCTAGGCAAAAACAGAGGCTTTGGTTAAAAAAAAGGAGGGTGGGGTAGGGGGAAGATTGATAGATCAAATGTAATTGGAAAAGGCATGCAACCTTTTTCAATTTATACACATCTACAGAGGTCTATTTACAGATCTGGGGTGGGGTTGGGCTCAGTGGCTCATGCCTGTAATCCCAGCACTTTGGGCAGCTGAGGTGGGAGGATCACTTGAGCCCAGAAGGTTGAAGCTGCAGTGAGCCACAGTAGAGCCACTGCACTCCAGTCTGGGTGACAGAGTGAGACCCAGTCTCAACACAAACAAACAAACAAATCTGGGATGGGGCACTCCTGGTGGACTTCTCTGGTCATTGTGTAGAGGGCACTATGCACTCTCCAAGGACCAAGGTCTTGCAGCCAACTCTGAAAGCCAGGGCTCTGGCCCCCAGCCAGCCTTTCCTTGAAAGTATTTCTTGAGTGCATTGCCCTTGGCAGCAGTTAGATGCTGCTGCTTTTTATTAGTGTTTCCTTCTCTTTTTCCAGGCCCTCTTTTGGGGTTCTTTCTGCAGACAGTGGCTTTCATTTTAGCCTGAGTGTTCAGAAGAGGACAGTGGGCTGGCCTCACCACCCATCAGCCTCTGCTTTGGGGACTGAATGCACAACATCATCCTCACTCCTAAACTGACCTCCAAATACACACAGTTGTGATCTCACTGCTTAGGAGGGCTGGAAGCTGTGGCAGCTCTTCTGAGGGCTCAGTGGGGCCAGCCACCCTCAGCTGGAGGTGTAAGCAGGTTTTTTTTTTTTTTTTTTTTTTTTTAATCGAGAAGGAGTCTCTCTCTATTGCCCAGGCTGGAGTGTAGTGGTGTGATCTTGGCTCACTGCAACCTCCACCCCCCGAGTTCAAGCAATTATCTTGCCTCAGCCTCCTAAGTAGCTGGGATTATAGGTGCCCACCTAATCCCATGCCCAGCTAATTTTATTGTATTTTTAGTAGAGATGGGGTTTCACCATGTTGGCCAGGCTAGTTAGGAACTTCTGACCTCAAGTGATCTTCCCGCCTTGGCCTCCCAAAGTGCTGGGATTACAGGCGTGAGCCACCATGCCTGGACATGTAAGCAGATTTTTGTAGGTTAAGTTTGCCCCAGAGCAGGAGCATTCTGTCCTGTTGCCTAAGAAGAGTAAGACTGGTGCTTTTGAGAAAAAGCAAAATGCCAACTCAGGGGGAGAAGCTTCAGACCTCATATTTGACTCAGGCATGCCCTCTACCGCAACCAGGTGATTATGGTGGTTTAACTGTCCTTGATGGTAGAACAAGACGCTCTCACATTTGTGGAGACCTTTGATAGTGGTGCTGTTTTCCGCAGTCCTGTCTTCGATGAGTCATCTCATATTTCCTCCCTAGTAGAGCACAGGGTGAGGTGGGGCGGGAGGGGAGGTCACCTTCAAAGAGGCCCACCAAACAGGGGAATCTTGGGGCCACGAATACCCTCTGCTTACATTAGCCAATGTTGATACAAGGTCACCTTCAAAGTTCTTGTTCATCTTACGTAAACCTGTTCAGGTGACAAAGCCCTCGAAGTCTTGAATTTATGTGGTCTTAGACTTTAAAGTTCTTGAGAAAAAAACACCATAGGGGAAAATCTAAAAGACAGCTTTATGCTTTGACTTAACTTTGTCTGTGAATTGAAAAGGAACTTGCCTTTCTTCAGCTCTGGGAAGGAGGAACAACTTGGGAGCTTAATGACAGGTCACTGACCCCACCCTAGTGGACTGTTAGGCTTTGTGATCTGGATTGAACATGGACACCCCCAGTCAGCCTCTCTGCATCCCTTCCAGCACATTCTTTCTGAGGGTGAAACTAAAAGCAATAGTTTAGTTTGTGGTTACCTTTATTTCAACAGAGTTTAACTTTTAGAACCACCTACTTAAAACGAATGATGAAATTAATAATAAAAGTTATTTATTGTGGGGCGTGGTGGCTCATGCCTATAATCCCAGTGCTTTGGGAAACTGAGGTGGACAGATCACCTGAGGTCAGGAGTTTGAGACCAGCCTGGCCAACGTGGTGAAACCCTCTCTCTACTAAAAATACAAAAATTAACTGGCCGTGGTGGCGCAAGCCTGTAATCCCAGCTACTCTGGAGGCTAAGGCAGGAGAGTCACTTGAACCTGGAAGATGGAGGTTGCAGTGAGCCAAGATCACACCACTGTACTCCAGCCTGGGTGACAAGAGAACGAGACTCTGTCTCAGAAAAAAAAAAAAAAAAAAGCTATTTATTGAGCACATATTATGTGCCAGGCACTGTGCTATTTTCTCTGCATGCTTTTTTCTCATTTAGTCCTCACAACAACCTGTGCAGTAGATACCTTTTTTTGTTGTTAAAAATTTTTTAGGGATAGAGACTTGGTCTTGCTGTGTTGCCCAGGCTGGTCTTGAATTCCTGGCCTCAAGCCATCCTCTTTGCTGTGACCTCTCTAAGTGCTGAGATTACAGAAGTGAGCCACCACCCCCAGCCTGATAGGTATCATTATTGTCCCCACTTTACAGATGAGGAAAATGAGGCTCAGAGAAATTATGTCATTTGCCCAAGTTGACCCAAAGGTCAGGGTTTTCTCGATTTGACACAATTTTGCAAGAGGGCTGATTCTTAGTGAAAGGGGAGAAACCAGCTTCTTCCACTTTGGGAAAGGTTGTGTCCTGCCATCCATGTCAGATGGTCCTAAAGAAACAGTCACTAACCCTTGTTCTCATGTGTAGAGAAGGATCAGAACAGGAATTAGATAAAGAAAGACATAACAAAAGGGAGTGTCTGAATTTTTTCCTTTTGTCCAATGCAAGTCTGCTTTTGCAACTGAAAAATCCTAATCACTCTCAAAGTTAAAAACTCCAGAAATGTTATCTCCTGGTGATTTGTCTACAGCCTCTTCTACCAGGTACAATGATTTGGTAGGCTGGTTTCACGGCTGTCACCTGTGTAGTCACACAAGGCCCTGAGTTTAGAAGGGCCCATCCTCGCTTTAATGTTCTGCTGTCCATCTTGAAATTCTTACTAATTTTTAAATGAAAGACCATGCATTTTCATTTTTCCCTGGGCACTGCAAGTTATGTAGCTGATCCTGCAATTTAGGAGACTAAAAATAATGTGATATAACCAAGAATAGCTGCAGCCATGAGCTACTCCAGAACCAAAGCTGGGGTGCCTGGGGTCCTTCCTGTGTGTGCTCTGTTTGTGTGGAGAGTAAGTGACCACACAAGGAAGTTGTCTATTCGCTTGCCCTGCAGTGAGAACTGGTGTTGACGTCAGAGCAGGAGCTCGGCAATGAACCCATCAGAAGAGCCCAGTGGAACAGAGATGGAGGGAGCCCTAGGCCTATTCGAAAATCCCAGGAGAACAAGGACAGGTGGCTCAAGCTTCCCTGAGTCTGGATTTGCTTGATGCCCTGACTGGTGGCAGAGGGTCTGATTTCAATGCATCCAACATTAATATATCCTTCTGATCCCAGGCTGGAGCTCAGAGCCTTCAGTACCCCATTTTGTTTAGTTCTGTTTTTGAGACAGGATCTTGCTCCATTTCCCAGGCTGGAGTGCTGTGGTGTAATCATGGCTCACTGTACCCTCAAACTCTTGAGCTGAAGCAATCTTCCTGCTTCAGCCTTCCAGGTAGCTAGGAGTAGAGGTGCATCCCACCATGCCCAGCTAATTTTTCATTTTTGGTAGAGACGAGGTCTCACTATGTTGCCTGGGCTGATCTTGAACTCCAGGCCTCACGTGATCCTCCTGCCTCGACCTTCCAAAGTGTAGGGATTACAGGAGTGAGTCACCATACCTGGAAACTTTTTTTTTTTTTTTTTAGATGGAGTCTCGCTCTGTCACCCAGGCTGGAGTGCACTGGCACTATCTCAGCTCACTGCAACCTCCGTCTCCCAGGTTCAAGTAATTCCCCTGCCTCAGCCTCCTGAGTAGCTGGGATTATAGGTGCCTGCCACGATGCCCAGCTAGTTTTTATTTTTAGTAGAGACGGGGTTTCACCATCTTGTCCAGGCTGGTCTCAAACTCCTGACCTCAGGTGATCTGCCTGCCTTGGCCTCCCAAAGTGCTGGGATTACATGTGTGAGCCACCACGCCCAGCTGCCTGGCAACATTTTGATTTATAAATAATTTGTCCCATCACAAGGCAACGGCAGCCCATTGAAAAACCCAAGTCTTTCTTTGTTGGTTTCTCATACTTTCTCTCTCCTCTCTCCTCTTTCCTTCCTTCCTTGTTTTTTTATTTTTTTTTTGAAACGGCGCCTTGCTCCGTCGTCAGGCTGGAGTGCAATGGTGCAATCTTGGCTCACTGCAACCTCTGCCTCCTGGGTTAAAGCGATTCTCCTGCTTCAGCCTCCCAAATAGCTGTGACTACAGGCATGTGTCACCATGCCCGGCTAATTTGTTGTATATTTAGCAGAGATGAGGTTTCACCATGTTAGCCATGATGGTCTCGAACTCCTGACCTCATGATCCACCCGGCTCAGCCTCCCAAAGTGCTGGGACTACAGGCATGAGCCACTGCACCTGGCCCTTTCTTTCCTTTCCTTCCTTTCCTTCCTTCCTTTTCTTTTCTTTTTTCTTTTTTCTTTTTTCTTTTCTTTCCTTCCTTCCTTCCTTCCTTCCTTCCTTCCTTCCTTCCTCTCTCTCTTTCTTTCTTTCTCTTTCTTTCTCTCTGTTTCTCTCTCTCGCTCTCTTCCTTGCCTTGCCTTGCCTTCTTTCCTTCCTTTCTTTCTTTTGAGATGGAGTCTCACTCTGTCACCCAGGCTGGAGCACAGTGGTACGATCTCGGTTTACTGCAACCTTCACTTTC